GGGGCTCTTGCCTTTCCTTAGACCATACCTGTCTTTCAAACCAAGACACTTCACTGTGCGTTCGCATGCATCTGCCTTCCAAGCATGTAATCTTCTCTGGTTTTGAGATCATTTCTCTAGTTCCCAGATCACTGTCCTCCCAGCTTGTCTCTTGGCCTCTTGGCTTGTCCCTTCTCAAGTTTTCATGGCAGTTTCTGCTCTTTGACTTGTTCTTAACTTTTCCTTCTGTATTTGCTCCGGGACCAAGTTGCACCTGGTGGGTGATGCAAAATGATGGCAAGACTCGATGCATACCCCAAGGAGACCTTTTTTTAGGGTGAAATACCTATAGTACTGTGCCTGTATCTAACTGCATGTATGTATATAATGAAATGGTTTTAGTTTGATATAGCATATTAGTATGGGAAAAAATTCAGGGGTGGATAATGTTGAGGGTTGAATTGTCCCCTTTTCTTTCTGTGGGATTTTCCCCATTGTTATGCTAAGTATTTGTGGCTACACCTTAGTATTAACAGTTTCTCTTGCAGGGGGGTAGGGACAGGGGGAACACCAGGAAAGGAAAGGTGGGACAGGGGCCTGGACTCTCGCTCTCACTCTCTCACTCACTCATGGAGTAGGAGGAAGACGGCCGGGGCTCCTACCTAGCATCCTCCCCACCATCCCAATGCTGAGATCCACATTCCCTGCTGTTGGACATCGCTCTGCTCTTTTCCAGCCTCATCGTTCTACCTCCGTACACTCTGCCGAGCACCACGACCGACACCATGAGGGGGGAGTGGCTCCTCCATCCCTCTCACTCCTGGGCCACCGCTGCCATCACCCAGCGCCTTCAGCTGCGCGGGACCTGCCCTGCCCACAGCACCGGGAACTGAGCACAGGGAGAGGGCGCCTGTGGCCAAAAGGGACTGGAACTGAGCTATACTGTTCTGTTTTGTTGTCAATTTTTATTGCTGTGGTTGTTTCTTTTGTTTGCCTTGTTAAATATATTAGTAAAGAACTGTTATTCCTATCCCCATATCTTCTGCCTGAAAGCCCCTGATTTCAAACTATAATAATTGGAAGGGAGGGGGTTGCATTCTCCATCTCAGGGAACGGGTTCTTGCCTTTCCTTAGCAAATACTTGTCTTTCAAACTGAGACACCTCACCACAGGGCTTTGTCTTTGCATTAGTGGAATGAAATAGTCCATGCTTTGCCTCCTTCTGAACACAGACTGAAAAACAGGATAGGGAGCAAAAGAAACACAGGAAACACAGTGCTGCTCCACCTCAGTGATCCAGCTGGGAGATAAATGACACTTTTGGATAAGTAGCAGAAAAATGTAAACTGTCCCTTTTCAGACTCTGAAATGGAGCCTGAAGCCAGCACTGCTCTGAACTTCCACAGGCTGTGAATCACGTTATAATAGAAAAGTTTCTGTCTGTACTCTTCCCAATAATCTCTCAGACCATCAAGATATTTTTTTTTTAATTCCACTTTGCTTGTTCTCTTCCCTGACCCCAGCCTGATCCTTCTGTTTCTTCATGGATATATCAACCTTCTGATTATTTCTATTGGTCTAAGGCTACAACTCCTCAGTCTCACTTCTACAGGAACATTTTCTAGTCTGAGATTTG